TGCTGAGTCTGGGGGTGGAGAGCCTGAGGGTGCTGGGCCTGCACGTGTGGAGTCTGGCGGTGCTGAGCCTGGAGGTCCTTCGGGTGCTTCTTCCCGGCGGGAGCCCCTCTCTCCACAGGAGCTGCGCGAGTGGTTTGCTCGGCACTGGAGCCGTGCTGCTGGAGCTGGTGGTGCTTCCGGCGCTGGAGGTTCTGCTGCTGCTGGAGGTCCTTCTGCTCCTGGGGCTGCTGGGGGTTCTGTAGCCACGGGTCCCGGAGGTGCTCGTACTGGAGGTACTGGAGCTGCTGGGCCTGGTGGTGCTACTGGTGCTGGAGCTACTGGCGGTGCTGGAGCTGGCGGTGCTGCTGGAGTAGGTGCTGCTGGAGGTACTCGAGCTAGAGCTGCTTCGTCTTCCGGTAGTCCTGCTGGAGGTGCTGGAGCTGGAGGTGCTGATGGAGTCGGTGCTCCTGTGGGTGCTGGCGTGGGCGCTACTGCAGCGGCTGGTGGAGCGGCTGGAGCTGTTGGAGCTGGCGCTGGGGGTGCTGGTGCTGTCCCTGCTGGTTCTAGAGGTGCTGCACGGCCGCGGCCGTACTTCATTCCGCTCCTTGAGCAAGTTCTTGGTCTCCCGCTTTCTACTGGTCCTGCTCCTTCCTTAGAGTGCCCACCGCCTGTCCAGTCCGAGTCTTAGTTACAGCTGGCCTCCCCACTGCCTTCTCCTTCTCCCTACACTGGTCCTACTGGAGGTCTTGCTGAGCGTGATGAGCCTGAGTCTCGTCCTGCGTCGCTTGTTCGCGCTGCTCGCACTGGTCGTCGTGTTCCGCGTCAGCGTCCTCCTGCGGTCCCATGCACGCACCAGATGGCTTTGCGTCCTTCCACTGCTCCACTGCGTGTCCCTTTGCCGTCTCCTTTAGAGTCCTCTCTTCCTACTCTTGCTGACCCGGAGTCTGACTCCCTTCGTGCTGCCAGTCCTACTGTCACGCGTCTCCTAGCTACTGTTGTCACTGACCCTTCCTTTTAGTCCACTGCTGCGTCTGCCTTAGTTGCTGAGCTTGTCGACTTCGCTGCTCACTATCGTCTAGACTACGCCGCTAGTCTTGTTGCTGAGTCTGAGTCTGTCTGTCCGCCGTCTGTCGGGGGTGAGTGTGCTCTTAGCACGGACGTCCTTGAGGACAGGCAGGAGGAGTTCCAGTGTTTTGCTGCTGCTTTACCTCATCTCGTGTCCATGCTGCTTGCCCCTAAGGGAGACCCGGATGCACCAGACATCCCGACCCCGCGCTCTTACGCAGAGGCGATAGAGGGTCCCTACTCCTCTCAGTGGCAGACAGCCATGGACGCAGAGATGGCTTCCTGGAAATCCACAGGCACCTACGTCGACGAGGTTCCCCCACCTGGGGCGAACATCGTCAGTGGCATGTGGATCTTCAGGGTGAAGCGGCCGCCGGGTTCTCCACCTGTCTTCAAGGCGCGTTACGTGGCTCGAGGCTTCAGTCAGCGACAGGGAGTTGACTACTTTCAGACCTTCTCTCCCACCCCGAAGATGACCACTCTTCGGGTGCTGCTGCACATAGCCGCTCAGAGTGACTACGAGCTTCACTCTCTTGACTTCAGCACTGCTTTCCTACAGGGCAGCCTGCACGAGGAGATCTGGCTGCGCCGTCCACCTGGCTTCACGGGGTCGTTTCCTCCTGGTACCCAGTGGAGCCTCCGGCGGCCAGTCTACGGTCTCCACCAGGCGCCCCGTGAGTGGCACGACACACTGAGGACTACGCTCGCGGCCCTTGGGTTTGCTCCTTCTACTGCTGACCCGTCGTTGTTTCTACGCACCGACACTTCTTTGCCGCCGTTCTACGTCCTCGTGTACGTCGACGACTTGGTCTTTGCTACTTCTGACACTGCTGGACTCGCCCACGTGAAGTCCGAGCTGCAGAAGAGACACACGTGCACAGACCTGGGTGAACTGCGCAGCTATCTTGGCTTGCAGATCACCCGGGACAGAGCACGGCGCACCATTACCCTGACTTAGTCACACATGGTGCAGCAGGTCCTTCAGCGCTTCGACTTCACGTACTCCTCGCCTCAGGCCACTCCTCTGTCTACTCGCCACTCGCTCTCAGCTCTGCCTTCGGATGAGTCCGTAGAGCCGAGTGGCCCGTACCCAGAGCTTGTTGGCTACCTCATGTACCTGATGACCTGCACTCGACCTGACCTGGCATACCCTCTTAGCATCTTGGCACGCTATGTTGCTCCTGGGAGACACCGACCAGAGCACATGGCTGCAGCGAAGAGGGTGTTGCGCTACTTGTGCAGTACGTCGGGCTTGGGGCTCGTGCTTGGAGGGCAGAGTCCAGTGGTCCTCACTGGTCACGCAGACGCGTCTTGGGTTGACGACTTGGCTACGCAGCGGTCGTCACAGGGTTACACCTTCAGCCTTGGTTCCGGCTCTGTTTCGTGGCGGTCTACCCGCTCGTCTTCTGTTCTCAGCTCCAGCTGTGAGGCTGAGATCTACGCAGGGGCCATGGCTGCACAGGAGTTACGCTGGCTCACCTACCTGCTGACTGACCTGTGAGAGCCTCCTCGTTCTCCTCCAGTTCTGTACGTATACAACAAGGTCATGCTGGCCTTGTGTCGGGAGCACAGACTGGAGCACAGAACGAAGCACATTGCTCTTCGCTACTTCCTTGCTCGTGAGCTGCAGCAGCGTGGTCAGCTGCGCCTTGCTTACGTGGCCTCTCGGGCCAACACTGCTGATATCTTCACCAAGGCACTTCAGCCTTGTGATCATCAGCGTTTCTGTACTATGCTAGGTCTTGTGCCTACTTGGCCTCACTTGCTCACTTCTTGACTTTGCTTGTACTGTGATCTATATATACCTGCACTTGCATGTTTACCTTTATATATATGATCCTGCATGTGAACTGGCCTTGTGGCCTTTGAACTTGTGCTCGGAATGTGTGGTGACGTTGTGATCCACCCTGAGCTTGCTGTGCTTTGCTTGATTGGTCTTGTGACCTCTTGTTCTCCCTCACTTTGCCTATGGGGGTGTGTCAAACATTCATCGTATAGCTTGTCTAGGCTATAGTGGGGTAGACACTAAGGGGTACAGTTTCCTAGGGTTTCTTACTTGTACCCAACTCTTCCATAGTGCACTCATTCCTCTTTCTTCACATGCTCCCCTCATCGCTAACTGTCAAGTTATATACATATGTTATATATAGTTTGTCTAGGCTTTATGGGGGTTAGCAGTAGGGGGTACACAATTTCTCTCGACATTCTTCTTGTACCCCAACCTTTGACCTAATCCAACATACCTTTTCTCCTCCTAAGTTCTAAGACTAACGGCTGACGTCGATTGCCTTGTGTCAGGAGCAGAGGCTAAAGCACATTGCTCTCGTTCCTTTCTTGCTCGAGAGTTGCAGCAGCATGGTCAGCTGCGCCTTGCTAACATGGCCTCTCGGGCCAGCAGTGCTGATGTCTTCACCAAGGCCCTTGCGCCTGGTGATCATCAGCGTTTCTGCACTGCTCTAGGCCTTGTGCCAGTCCCTCAGATTGGTTTCAGGGTATGCTGATCGATCAGTGTGCAGTGTCCGAAGTGGTGTCCAAATCAGCCTTGGGGGTAAAATTTATGCTCATTATTGAGTGTAAATTTACAGTTTAAAAAACATCGTTGCTGGCGTAGTCGTTTGGGTTACGTCTAGACATCGCGAAGAGCCCAAGTTCGATTCTCGTAGACGGGGCGTGTCTGTGAGAGCTGGGAATTCTTTTTGCGGGAACCCTTTTTGCGCGAATCCTTTTTGCGGGAATCCTGGTTTGAACACCCCTTGTACACCGATACCCTATCATGTCCGAATCAGTGTGACTCGGTACACTATACTGATTCGTCAGTGTTACTTGTACAGCGACATGCAAAATGGTCAGTGTGACAAAATAGGTTATACTGAAATTTCAGTGCAAAATTGAAGCATATGCTGAATTTCCAGGGAAAACGAAAATCGGAGCTACAAAATCAGCGTAATCAGCGTGTTTTACACTGATATCTGAGGGCCTGCCTTGTGCCTACTTTGCCTCACCTGCTGGTTGCTTGACTTGTCTTGTAATGTGATCTATCTGTATATATATACAGGAACATTCATATATATAGGTCAATCATTCCTGCACGTGATTTCTGACAGTAGGAACATCTTTACCGGACCCGACTTCACTCTCCACCTCCATCGCTGTACCGGCTTGCAATCTCTGGAGTTCCACTGGCCGGCTAACTATACATGTGAGGAAGATCCCCTAGGTGTCGCAACTCTTGATAAAGATTTCATCCATTGCACCTGCCTCTCTACTCTTATCTTGTGTGACTTTCCCACCCTCAGCACAATTCCCCAGCAGCTCAAGAATCTTTCACAGCTAGAGCGGTTGGAGCTGCACTCCTGGCCCAACCTAGAACGCTTGCATGCTTCCATCACCAAGCTGTCCAAGCTCAAAACACTTTTCATCTCTGGGTGCCCAAAAGTCAAGGATGGTGCTGCTGTTATTTGTGCTCTGCCGAATGTGAGTGTGAATGTGTTGGAACGTAGCAACTGAGAATATGGTGTGGTGGTTTTAGGGAAAGGATATAAACTGTGATTCCTTGGGGAGTAGGTAGCTCAGGGTTAGGCGTTAATGTAGGGACAGTTAAGGTTTTATTATGGCCGCAGGCGGTCAAAGGATATTTTCTAATTAATCAATGATGTAAATACCAAACGACAGCTCTTGAAATTTATTACCGTATGATGTCCAGAGTTGTGAAGGCAAATTTACGCTGAGTGGGATTTGTAAGGGATTATTACAATCAAAAGAAAAATGCATCAAGCCACTGTGTAGGCAGGGATCTCCATTCAGACTACAGCACTTCAAGGCAAAGTGACGTCTCAAGCTGCTGTTGCTCACTGTGATGCTGCGAACAACTGCACGCTTTGGCCTTCTTTCAGACTCCGTTATGATACATGGTGTGTAGGCAAGTGAGGAAATGTCGGCCATCAAGGGCCCTGCACTCACAGCAGTGCCAGCACTGCGAGCATCACCATCACAGCAACAAAATTAGCCGTGGCATGCAGGCGATGGGAGATCTTTTCCCCACTCGAACCAGACGGGGAGCCCCCACTGCTGCTGCTGCTCGAATCAGCACCACCACTGCTGCCGCTGCTCGAATCAGCACCACCACTGCTGCCGCTGCTCGAATCAGCACCACCACTGCTGCTGCTGCTCGAATTAGCACCACCACTGCTGCTGCCACCAGTGTTGCTTGTAGGAATACAGTCAGTAGGTGATGTGATGCCATTCAGCTTCGTGCTTGTGCCACCACCAGCACCAGCAGCAGCACCGCCATCGCCGCCACTGTTGCTGCACTTGAACTTATCACACTGCCTGTCAGTGACCGTCCTATTAATATACTGCCTCATTTTGGGATACTCGGTGAAGTTCATAACCTTAGCGGGGCACTTCTCAATGGGGATGGGAAGCGGGTCACAGCAGAAGGGCATGGGGGGCAGCTTCTTGGGCCCGTTGTAGCACTGGGTCTGGTCAGAGGCGTCTGGTGTGACGGCGACTGTGAAGTTGTAGACGCCAAACGCCGTGCCCACCTTGCCGAACAGGTCCTCCATGAAGCGCTCGGCTGTGGGGAAGAACTTGTCGAGTGTGGCGACACCAGGCACTGCGAGTGGGAAAGGAGGGGAGAGATGAGGGCGAAAGGTGAAGATGGAGAGAGGGTGCCACAGGCGGTGCCCACCTTGCCCAACAGGCCCTCCATGAATCGCTCGGGTGTTGGGAAGAACCTGTTGAGCGTCGCCACTCCTGGCACTACCATGTTGTGGCGAGTGGGGAATGAGTAGGGGGAGAAGGGAGTGGTGGTGGGGGCTGGGGGGGGAGGGGGGGTGAAGGTGGAGAGGAAGAGGGAGAGGTACGGTAAGAGGGAGAAGAAGGGAGCGGAAGGGAGGCGAGAAGAGGGAGGGAGGGGTGAAGTGAAGGATGCATGGATGGATGATGGATAGGCCTGGCAGGGCTCGCACTTGCGCCGCTTGCAGGTTTGGTATACGGTCTGAGAGGTTGCAGGCCTGCACAGGATGGCATGGGCCATAGGTGCGTAAAACAGAAGTCACACGAATTAAAAGGGTGTATATGGGACGGTCTGGGAGGTTGAAGGCATGCATGACGCGCAACATAGGCACTCAAACACAGAAATCACCTGAAGAAAAGAGTCTACTCACGTGTGAGCCCCTTGCAGGTCTGGTAGACGGTCTGCGAGAAGGCGTTGCAGACCTGCATGACGCGCGTGCCGTTGACCAGCTTGAAGTAGCTGCCCGAATCTGTGGGGGGCGCGTGGGGTGGAGGGGGTGGTGGGTGGGTTGACCAGAGTCAGTGAGCAAGTGGGTGGATGGGTGAGGGAAGCGGGTGGATGGGTGAGGGAACCGGGTGGATGGGTGAGGGAACCGGGTGGATGGGTGAGGGAACCGGGTGGATGGGTGAGGGAACCGGGTGGATGGGTGAGGGAAGCGGGTGGATGGGTGAGGGAAGCGGGTGGATGGGTGAGGGAAGTAGGTGGATGGGTGAGGGAAGCGGGTGGATGGGTGAGGGAAGCGGGTGGATGGGTGAGGGAAGCGGGTGGATGGGTGAGGGAAGCGGGTGGATGGGTGAGGGAAGCGGGTGGATGGGTGAGGGAAGCGGGTGGATGGGTGAGGGAAGCGGGTGGATGGGTGAGGGAAGCGGGTGGATGGGTGAGGGAAGCGGGTGGATGGGTGAGGGAAGCGGGTGGATGGGTGAGGGAAGCGGGTGGATGGGTGAGGGAAGCGGGTGGATGGGTGAGGGAAGTGGGTGAAGCAGCTGCCTGTCTTTCTGACAGGAGCGCGGGGAGAGAGAATGTGGGGAGTAGCGGGGTGGGAGAGGGAAGAGAATTTGGGTGGAAAGAGAAAGTGAGGAGGAAAGGGGAGAAATTTGGCTCACTCAACAGAGAAGGTTTACGAGTCACACAGACTGCGTACCGCATCCAACACAAAGTCACCGCCATTCGCCCTCATTGCTTCTCACTCGCCCTCGTTGCTTATCACTCACCCTCATAATTTTCCACTCGCGGAGCTGCTACGAAGTGGTAATTCGACCTCACTCAACTAGGTAGCACCGAACTCACCCGGGTTGCACCCCGTGGCGCACACGACCTGCTCCAGGAGGAGCTGGCACTGCTGGAACTCGCTGAACTGCGCGCACACCTGCGCAGGAAGAGCGGGGAGAGGGGGAGGAGGTGGCGCGGGAGGCGGGGGAAGAGAGGGGGAAGGGGTGGAAGAATGAGGAGGGCGGGAGTGAAGGGGCGGACAGGAGGAGCTGGCACTGCTGGAACTCGCTGAACTGCGTGCACACCTGCGCCAATAGGAGCACGACAGGAGACGAGTGAGAGAGGAAGTGAGAGGGAGTGAGAGAGCGTAAAAATGCGACTCGAGCTACAGCCAATGGCGCGCACACGACCTGCTCCAGGAGGAGATGGCACTGCTGGAACTCGCTGAACTGCGCGCACACCTGCGCGGGAGGAGAGCAAGGAGGGGGGGGGGGTGGGGGAAGAGGGGGAGGAGGTGAGGGAGGAGGGGGAGGAGGTGGGGGAAAGGGCGGAAGAGCGGGGAGGGAGTGGGGGAGAGGCGGACGGGGGGAGGGGGGAAAAGGTGAAGATTATGAGCGGGTGAGTGGAAGCGTTGGAATCATTGGAAGACCCAACATTTTCCAAGTAACTGACCCGCGCGTGCTCCTGCAGGAGGGAAGGGGGAGAGGGGGGAATAACGGCTAAGGGTGGGTGAAAGTCTCGGAGATCGACGACGGAACGGCGCAGCTCGAAGCCGCTGGAGTGCGCGCATGTTTGCGGAGACGCGGAGAGACGGAATTCGGGAGTGGCGGCATGGACAACCGAGAGGAGGGGAGAGCAAGAGGAGAGGAGGGAGAGAGGAAGAAAGTGAGGGAGGAAGGAATTGAGAGGGGAAGGAAGTGAGAGGTGAAGGAAGTGAGAGGGGAAGGAAGTGAGAGGGGAAGGAAGTGAGAGGGAGTAGACAGCACAAATGCGACTCGAACTGCAGCCAGTGGCGCACATGTGAGCGAGAGCACACGCGGAGTGGTGGCAACTGGCAGGGAACAGCGGCACAGAATGGAGAAAAGGGGTGATGGGGAGAGGTAGAGGGGGGATGCGCTAACTGAGCACGGAGAGAGACGGTCGGCCCGTCAATATTCGCGCACTGAAAAGTTTGTTAAGCCCCCCTTCCTCCATCAATTTCGTCAAGATTTCCCTCGCTTTTCCCCGCCAACGAGGATTCAAAACTCAGCCGCTACTGTACTAGAGACGAGCGTCACTCTGTGTCGCGTACCATCATGTTGACGTTTGTGAACTTGTCGCCGAGCCCCGGCGAGACTTGATTAAGTATAACGCGGCCATCCGTGGACGCCTCCACTACCGCGTATTTCCGGTCCTCGCAGTCGGAGCAGCACGTCCATTCCGCGGCGTCCAGGCACCTCGTTACAGTCACATTCGGTTTCACGGGCAGCAGGCCCGAGTACCAGCAGGCGGGGAAGTCACTCTGCTTTGCCGCGGAAACCGGCGCAATCAGCGCCACGAAAGACGCGATTAATGCCAAGATGAGTACGCTCCCCGCGGAAAACGGAGCATCCTGGCGGGTCATGGCGATGTTTGTAAGTGGGAAGCGCTACCAGTTACTCTGTACGGGAGCAGAGACAATAATTAGCTTGCTGCATTGACTAGGATAAATGAGAGATGCAACAATTGACAACTGTTACACTACGGAAGTCACACTACGGACGTGTCGCATAACTTTCGAGATTCTCGACGATGTTTGGAATTTCAGTTCACTTCGCAGATCACGCGAAAGCCTCGCACATGGTTGCTACAACCGAAAGCCACCGAAAACCGTCAAAACCACGTAACGTGGATGGGCGACGTCGTTCTAGCGAGGATGGTCAAACGAACGAACTCGATGAAGTGCCACGTTGGAATGAGAGGGTGTAGGACAGGCCTAGCGTGCACGAAACAAATGGAAACCTAAAGTCAAGCGGACTGCTGTAACTGTGGCTGCCTCGCTGGAAGAATGGAAGGACCAGCTGTCGCCAGATGCGCTGCAGACAACAACTTACCAGGAACTTACGGCGACCTATTTCTCTGGCGCACGCTATGGTCGCCTTCAAGTTACCTTCAACCACGTCCGTGACGCAAACTTTGTTTGGAGCCAAGTCATCAGGCACGAGTGCGCGAATGGCGACATTGTCGACTTTACCTGGCAGCACCCCGAAGATGCGCGTTTCCTCCGCGAGCGCCTGCTGAATCCGATGGCGAAGGAGGTTGTTGTCAAAGGAGTTCCCGCGGACATGACTGCTGAGCTGATTCGTCACCTGCTGGTGGTGTCGAAGCTGGTTAAACGCGGTCGGAGTGCTTTCGCCAGCGGATTCGGTTTTCATCGTACCGTCGATCCGGTCACTGGGCTGGACACCGACCGTATCCGCGGCCTGTTTATCCCCCACGCTGATGATGAATACCGCTGGAGATACTTTGTGGAGGACCCGTCGACTGGCAGGCGCTACATGCTGCACTACCCATCGCTTACCTGCGAGCTCTGCAGCGGCCAGCACCTGTCCCGTTACCACGATCACTATGTCACCTCGAGGCAGGAGAATTTCACCAACTGGAACCTGTCGGTCAAAAAGGTTCATGACATGAACGGTATAAGCAGGACGACTCCCCACCCTCACCTCTCATTTCCGCTGCCTTCGTTTTCCACCCCGCTCAGAACATGCCTCCCGAATCGTACTGACGACTGTCTCCTCACCTCCTCTCGCAGCGGCTTCCCTGAAAGCCACAGCGTCTCTGATACGCATTCTGAAAGACCCCACAGTCATACTCACCTCTACAGGAGGTGTGCGGGAGGAGTGGGTGTGCGTACAGACTGTAAGCGAGAAGGCTCAAGGGAATCGCTTCGAGCAGGCGGCGACTCATGTCGCTTCTGCCAGGCACAAGGGAGGACTGAAGAAGGAAGGTGCTACAACACGCGCCAGCAAGAACTCTCAGAAAATGGCTGCTTTCAAAAAAGAGTTCATGATCACGCCGGCAAAGAAGTGAGCAGCGGCTTAGTGGATGAGATGACTCTGTGGCTGTTTGGCGCAAGTTGCGTAGTAGGTGTCATGTTCTCCTTTGCTGTAGCTGGATGCATCGTCGCAATAAAGATCAACCGCCCGTGGATGCTGTGGGGCTCAAGGACAGTGGTTAATGGATAAACGCAACAGCTTAACTTTCCTCGAGCTCAACATCAACGGGCTCGGTAGCTGTGGGAAACAAGAGAGATGCGGAAAGTGGATCAGGAAAGCAGCGCATGTAGTCGTACTCACCGACACACGAGTTTCACAAGATCATAACTTCTGGACGCAAGTCAGGTCGGAAGCACAAGCGGTGGTTGGCCCGTCGCAGAGAGCCGGGGGGGTGGCGGTCTTGGGTTTCCTGCCAGGCATGCGGTTCACGGACGTGGTTAAGCATGAGTCCGGCCGTATCATAAGTTTGATGATCGCATGGCGCGATCTGACATGCAGAGTGGTGGCTGTATATTTACCTGCACAAGCACCCGCTAGGGGGGTTTTCTTTCGTGACGTACTAACACCCTTTGTGCAGAGCTTGGGTGTCTCTCCGTATACCATACTTCTTGGCGACCTTAACATCGTTGCGGATCCAGAGCTGGACAAATCCTCAAAACTGGGAACACCGGCGGAAAACCAGAGGCTCCTGCAGATTTGCTCGAGATGGGATCTGCATGATGCTTTCCGGAGTCTCCATCCGACCAGGAAGGAGTACACTTTCTTCTCGAGATCTGCAAAAGCAAGCACACGGATTGACAGGGTTTTAGTGTCACACTCTCTTCTCAGCTGTGTAGTGGAGGCGAAACACAGAATGGTCCCATACGGGTTAACAGATCACTGGTTTGCTGTGTCGGTGTCGCTCAAGGCTGCATCGGCAGATGACCATGGTCCAGGGTTGTGGAGGCTTCAGGCACCCCATGCTGGGGGTGAAGGCGTCAGGAACATCATATCGGCGGTACTAGACTCGCAAGCGAATTATCCGGACCAGGGCCTGGAGAGGCTGGTGACGAACCTGCGAGCAAGCATGAGAGCTCATGTAGCGGAGGAGAGGAAAAGGGTTAAGGCGACCATGGTGCACTTGGAGCTGAAGGTGGAAGAGCTCAGATGGAAGGTGATGTCAGACCCTTCGTCGCAGGCTCTGTACGAGGACCTGATAAAAAATGAAGCGGCTCTCAAGCTTTACCAGGACAGTAACAAAGAGCGGCTGCAAGTTCTGACGGGGTTGCTGCAAGAGCTGGCGGGGGAGACTCCATCAGGCTTCCTGTCGGGCTTGGTCAATTCCAGGAAGGCGAAAACTGAGATAGCGGAACTTACTTTCAAAGGGGTGCTGAGGAAGGGCGCAAGCGAGGTGCTGCAAGCGGCCTCGGAACATTTCTGAGAAGCCTACGCGCTGTCGCCATCGTCCGCTCCTGTGGATCCGTGGCCGATTGAAGAGGGAAAGACGCTGCAGGAGAGTGATCGCTTACAGCTGGACAGTGAATGGTCGGAGCAGGAGGTGAAGGCCGCACTTAAAGGCTTGCCGGCGGGGAAGGCCCCGGGGCAGGACGGCTTGCCGAAAGAATTTTTCGAAAGAAATTGGGAGCTGTTGGGCCCGGCGGTGATGAGGGAAGTCAGGTTTTTCGAATCAGCGGGTGTGCTTTCGGAGTCCTTCACGACGGCGGTTACGATACTTCTGCACAAGAAAGGAGACAGGGATGATTTGGGAAATTACCGGCCGATTACATTATTGAGCTTCTTCTACAAACTACTGGCGAAGGTTTTGGCGAATCGTATCAAGGTGGTCTTACCGAGAGTGATCTCCAGCAATCAGTTCGGTTTTCTTCCGGGAAGGAGCCTCGCTGACGCTGTCTCTCTGGTAGCGGATGCGATCGACGCTGCGGAGCAGGAGGACGAGGACTGGTTGCTGTTGTTGGTCAATTTTCAGAAAGCTTACGATTCGGTATCACGGGAATACCTCTTCACGACGCTGGACAACATGGGCTTCCCGGGGAAGTTCACAAGATGGGTGAAGGGTCTTCACGACGGAGCGGCGACGAAGGTGCTGTTGAATGGCTGGATTGGAGAACGGGTGGAGATGGCCAAAGGGGTACGTCAAGGCTGTCCGCTTGCCCCATATCTCTTCCTCTGCGCGGTTGAGCCACTCTGCCAAGAAATAGAACGGAGGAAACTGGGGGTCAGGAAGAGAGGTGTGCAAGGGAGCCTAGACTACATTGGGTATGCAGACGACACGACACTGGTACTGAAGGGCAAGGAGCAGGTGGCGGTTGCTGAGGAACTACTGGGGGAGTTCGCGGAGATCTCAGGGTTGAAGGTGAACCGCGATAAGACCACACTAATGCCGCTGGGAAAAAATCGAAGGAGGTTGCAGCCGATAGCGTCGTCTTTCAAGTGGGCGGATAAGAACACGTCTGAAAGGTTGCTCGGAATCTGGATCACCTCTGGAGGCTCACCGGGACCTGCATGGGACAAGGCTTTTGAAAAAGTTAGCGCGGTGTTGAGCTGCTGGGAGACTAAACATCTCAAAACCTCGGCACGGGTTACAATCATTAACAGTTATGCGATGCTGATCCTGCTCTTCCAGGCGCAGATCTACGCCCCACCATACGAGGTCTGGACTAAACTGAAGAGGCTTTGTCACAATTTTATCTCGGGAGGGAAGGCGCTCCTCGACAGGCACTTCACGCTGTGGAGCTACGAACTGTCATGCAGAGGACGGAAAGAGGGAGGCCTGGGTGTGATTGATCTGAAGCACCGGATTGACAGCATGGTGATTCAAGGATTGGGGAAGGCCCTGGCGGAGCAGGAGCCACTTCGGAATTGGTTATGGGAGAGAGCGGCGGCTTTTCCCCTCGGCTTGGCCACAATCTACGCGCACCCTTCGGTCCTGAAGTCCTGGCTGGGGGGAGGAACGAGATGGAAAGCCACTATTAAAGCGTTGTGGGACTCAAAACTGGTGACCATAGGCGACCCGGCACACAGGTGGGACGCGGAGGAGGAGCAGCTACTCTTCAATCGCAATATTTTCTTCAGAGGCAGATCACCTTTTGGAAACCAGGCGGGTTCGCTTTGCCTGAAGGGCATTCGACTGGGGGATTTGGTGGCGAAAGGAGGGGATGGCAGCAGATCTCGTAAGAGTGAGGAGGTTCTGGAGAGGGAACTGGGGAGGTGAGGAGCAGAGGAAATGGGCCCTGAAGGCGTGGGAGGCGGCGCCGCAGAGGTGGAAGGATCTGGTACTCAACCAACTGTCTGCGGAGGAATTTTTCAGGGAAACAAGGCTGGTCCGCTCTGCGTCTTACCGGCCAGGAGTGTTCTTTTACTACCAGCTGCAGTATGTGAGCAACGGCGAACTATATGGTCGAAGAGTGACGGTGGACAAGAAAGGGAACATAGGTGAGGTGGAATATGCTAGCGTGGGAACGGTGGACTTTCGGCGCGTTTCACCCATGGCAGTCATAGACGGGAGGGCCCGCGGCTTACTCGGCGCTCCAAGAACGCGACTGCTTTTTTCCACAATCTGTGAGAAAGGCGAGCGAGCTGATCTAAA